ATCCCACCTACTACAAAAGTTCAACATCATATTTGTTTTCACATTTCCCAATTGTGCCTTACTCCATAAACGTAACTGGGTCTCCACAAACCACTGCAATTACCTCCTTGACTATCCTTATGACTTAACACATTTCCTGTCTGATATTTGATTAGGTTCTGACTCATATTGCGCTGGCCTTACAGTCTAGGGTAGTTGAAGATATTTTCGAAGCTGTATCAAAAAGCAGGATTTGAGAACAGAAAATGGATGCAGACAATGAGGACCTAGGTTGAGGGTTGAGATTCAATTTCAATGTCCAACCTCATAGTTTCATAATTATGCCTCAGTTTTCAGGTAGAGAATCAGATTTTGGAAGAACACAATTTTTTGCCTTGCTTGAGTAAAAAATAGACTTTTTCTGGGCCGGCCCGGTGGCTCACTTGGGAGAGTGCGGCGCTGATAACACCAAGGCCCTGGGTTCGGATCCCACATAGGGATGGCCGGTTCGCTCACTGGCTGAGCGTGGTGCTGACAACACCAAATCAAGGGTTAAGATCCCCTTACTGATCATCTTTTTAAAAAAAAAAAAAAAAATAGACTTTTTCGGGGCCGGCCCGGTGGCGCACTGGAGAGTGCGCCGCTTGGGAACGCGGCGGCGCTCCCACCGAGGGTTCGGATCCCATGTGGAGACCGGTTCCCGCTCACTGGCTGAGCGCAGTGCGGGCGCAACACCGAGGGTTGCGATCCCGTTGCCGGTCCCCAGTATGGGCGCGACACCGAGGGTTGCAATCCCGTTACCGGTCAGTAAAAAAAGACAAAAAGAAAAAAAAATAGACTTTTTCTTGTTCATTCTGTTGCTTCTCAAGATCTCAAATGAAAAGTTTGATGGAAAAAAGATTAATTATTTTGTTATTATTTTTCATGATATATTTTTCAATTATTCATAGTATTTCTGCCCCTCACTACTTTATCTGTCATTTCAGTGACATTTTTCTGGAGACAAGAATTCTCCTTATATACTTTCTACACTAGAAACTTCTAATCAGTTCATTTAAAATTGTTCTCCTGCCAATCTACCAGGACAAAGGACAAAGCATGAGAAGCGAGTACTCAAACGAGGTACCCCATGAGAGCCTCACACAGAAAGGACAGAGCCTTGTTTCCTCCTATCTTAGAATATTTGTCCTCCTGGAGTTAAATTGCCAATGTCTTCTGAAAACCAAAATAAAATATATATTTTGTTAAAATCCCTTCACAGGAGAAAACAAAAATAGAAATACAGAGATGTAAATTTAGCTTAATAACCAAAAGTTGTGTTTTTTAAAAATTTTACTCAAGTCTAGTGCAAAATTATAAATCTTCATTTTGATAAGCCACATTCCTGTTCATTTGTTGACCTTATTTTCTAAAACTATTGGATGCCTTTTATTTCTCCAATCTATTAAAATTGTTATCCATCTCTATGCCTTTACATAAGCTGTTTCCTCTTCCTATTTGTTCTCTGGTCAAAGTACTACTCTTTCATCAAGTTAAACCTCCTCGGATGCTTCCTTTTTTGTCTGGGGGCTCTTTCTTTCCTTGCCCTTCCTCCAATCTAGGGGTAGTGGCTTCCCTTACAGAACTCCCATACCACTCGTTCTGTGCCCTCTATTTTATCACTTAGAATACTGTAATGGACTCACCTTTCTCTTCCACCTTCCACCCACTCTTTCTGGGTTCCTTGAGGGCAAGGATCATGTTTTATTCATTTTTATAGTTTCATCACTTACTACAGTACTTGATTTAATCTAGATGCTCATAAATATTGAATGAATTTTGAGGTTTCCTACCTTCTACATTTATTTCCTATTTCTTCTAAAGTTTCAATACATTTTTATTCTCTTTACATTAATGATCTCAAACTAGAGACAAACTGACCATTAGAGACTCAGGAAACCACTTTGCTTTTCAGATCTGTACAATGGAGCTACTGACACAAATATATTTTAAAACCTTACAGCCAAAATAAATGTCTTAACCCTTCAGGAGAAAATGCTAAATTAATAAAATTGGGGTTCACTTTGGAAAACATTTTGCAACATTTTATGAAATTAGACATACACCTACCTTATGATCAAGGAATATAACTCCTAGATATTTACCCCAAACAAATGAAAACATATTCACAAAAATATTTATGGTAGCTTTATTCAAAAGAGCAAAAAACTGTAAACAACTCAAATTTCCATCAAGAGAACAGAAAAATAAATTGTGGTATATTCATGCAAGAGAATACTACTTAGCAATAAAATGAATTGAACTACTGGTATATGTAACATGATTGAATCTCAAGAACATTAAACTCGACAAAAAGAGCCAGGTTCAGAAAGAAGGGTACATACTGTATGGTACTATTTATACAAAATTCAAGAATAGGCAAAACTAACTTATGGTTACAGAAAACAGAATACTGTATGGTTCTGGTGGGGGAGGGGATTGATAGGAAAGGATTACTAGGGAACTTTCCAGGGAAATGGCAATGTTCCATATCTTTATTGGGGGTATTGGTTATGAGGTTATATACATTAGCAAAAAATCAAATTGTACACTTATAATCTGTGCATTTTAGTATAGATGCTTTTAAAACTCCTTCTCAATCACTATGTATACACACATACACACATACAAGTACATATGCATATATACACACATGTACATGTACACACACATGTGCACGCACACACACTGGGGTTTAATTATCTACACTAAGACAGCAAGAGCAATGTACAAAGTCTAAAATGTGCCATAGCAAGGACACATTTAATTTTGGAATTCATTTTGGTATACTATTATTTTTGCTTTCTTAATTGTGCTTTTCCTAGGATAATAGCAATATCATTTTTGTTACACTTAGCCCAGAGTGAGATAAATAACATGTTAAAAAAATAGAAAATTCACTTGGAATTAAAATTCTGGTATGACAAAGATAAAAAAGAGTTAACTAAAATAGAAGAAATTATAAATACTTTCGTCACAAACATTTAGATTTGCTCTATAATTGAAACCTTATTAAATTTCTATTTATATATTTTTGCTATTTTTTTATTGGAGTATTTATACAATGTGGTATGATTAAACCAAGTTAATTAACATGTCCATCACCTCACTTATTTTTCATGTTTTATGGTGAGTCATGTGAAATTTACTCTTAGTTACTCTGAAATATATGATTCTTACTTAATCTAGTCAAGTTGACACCTAAAATTAACCATTACACTCCTTGAGTCCTTGAGCAAGTGAATTTAAGGGCTGGAGACTGTGGTCACAGAAAGTATGAATTCCAAATTTTGGAGCTGATGCACCGTTTAGAAATCACAAGTTCCAGATATGTCAGGGGAGTGAGTCAAAGAAATGCAAAATTTAAAAACAATGAGGTAATGTAGTGGACTGAATTATGTCCCCCCCAAAACTCACTGAAGCTTAAACTGTGTCCCTCAAGTTTATGGATTAGAATCTTAGCCCCCACTGTAACTGTTACAAGGGTGGGAAATCATATATATGGTAATTGAAAGGTGGAGCCTTAAATAGGTGATTGGATTGTAGGACCATGCCATACTGAATGGATTAAAAATGGTGGTCAAGGGCGTGGTTCTCAGGACTTTAAAAGAAGAGGAGAGTCTGTCTTTCTTGCTATCTCTGCTTCCACTATCTTGCAATGTGAGATCCCTGGGTCACTGTCACCACCACCAGATGGACTTTAGACTTCCCAGCCTTAGAAACTGTAAGCAATAAATTTTGTTTTTCTTTATAATTACTCAGTTCCATGTATTTTGTTATAAGCAACACAAAACGGACTAATACAGAAAATATTATCTATATTCAGGCAGGTAAAGTTTTTATATTGCTTAGCCAATTTTTAAAAAACTGCATCCTAAAAACAATACATACAATCATGAGAAAAACATCAAATTCTAATGTTTGGGCATCCTTCAAAATATCTCACCAGTATTCCTCAAAACTGTCAAGGTTGTGTACTCTGTATCAAAAATAAAGAAAGTGTGAGAAACTGCTACAGCCAACAGGCACATAAGGAGATATGACAACTAAATGCAATGTGACATCCTGGATGGGATCCCAGAACAGAGAAAGGACATTAGGTAAAAACTAAGGAAATCTGAGTAAACTATGGACTTTCAGTAATAATAATATACAATACTTGTTCATTAATTGCAACAAACATACCATACTACAGTGAGGTGTTAGTAATAGGGGGAACTGGATGCCCTGAAGATGAGAATTCTCTGAAATATTTTCTCAATTTTAAAAATAAACCTAACATAACCTTAAAAAATAAACTATATTAAGAAAACAATATGCATTGTAAAAGGCATAATATCTAAAACAACGGCTACCCGTATACTCAATACCCAGCTTAATAGTCAATAGTTAAAGCCTTTAGTCCCCTCTCTAGCAGACATGACTTTTCTACACTTGATTTTCATTCCCTTGTATTCCATTACTTTAACTACATATGCATATACACCTTACCAATATATAGTACTGTTGTACATGTTTTATAATTATATGTATATAAATTGTCATGCTATTTATTTCTTCTCCATCTTCCTCTTTCTGCCTTTCTGAGTTCAGTCTTTTTCCTTCCTATCAACAACCCATAATGTATTTATTCTTTTATTGATGGACGTTTCTAATATTTTGCTTCTACCCACAGTGCTGTTATGTACATCTCTGTCTGCATATCACAATTTCAATAGGACATATACTTAGGAGCGGAATGCTGGAGGTTAGTATTTAAGTATGTTCAGTTTTACTAGATCTTGCCAAATTGCATCCCAAAGTGGTTTTTACCATTTGCGCATCTACCAGCAGGAACGTATATTTAGACGCTTAGGTGGTAAAAAATTCTGGAAAGACATCCAAACCAGATAATATGTTTGTTTCACTACAGTCTGACTTCCGCGCCCACGGAATCATTTCTGCAAGCAAACGTGTCAACAGCAGCTAGGAGCCCTTCATACAGTTCTGACACCGCAGGACCAGCCGCTGTCTCCCGCCTGGAGACGAACACGCAGGCCCACTTCCGGCGTGCGCACCGACGCGAGGGTAGACGTGGGCACGTTCGGGACGTCGGCGTCCTGTTTGACGACCTTCAAGGCCCCTTTCCGGGCTGTCCGACACGATACAAGTGTCAGCTTGTGTTGGCCGATTGCCTCTTTCTTGCAAGAAAAGAAAGCATCGTCACAGACTCACCTTGTTCTCAGCAACGATCCCCTTCATTAGAAAAGAGTGGCTTTAGGCTGGCGATTCCTTCAGGCAGCGCCGCGGGCAGCCCGCAGGCCCTCGTGAGGCGCTCCCCGAGGCCCCTCCTCTTTCCTTTCGGCCGGAACCGCCATCTTCCAGGTAGGGTCTGCGCGTGGCTCCCGGTACCCCGCGTTAGACAGACTTGAACGGCAGCCCTCTGGCTGCGGAGGCCGTGCGCTGGAACTCTTGAGAGACTGTCTAGCTTGTCTAGGGTCCACTGGGGGGCGGGGAGGCGGGTATAAGCATGTCCTGCCAGACCGGGAGCAGCGTGCGCCGGGTCGGACCTGGCCCAGGGGCTGAGAACCGGACTGCGATGCCCCGGCCCTGTGGCGGGGCAGTCTTGAGGACGAGTCACTGAGGGTGAGGCGATTTGAGTTAACCCTCAAAGGACTTCGTCGTATGCCCCCATGGATTTATCCTCGGTGTCCTGAGCGGCCCTGCCGAATACGCTGTGGGGGGCCGCGTGGTCTGGTGCCTTTCGAACTCTTCCCAGTGAGGTGTTTTCACCTCTAACCTTGTAATGGTATAGGATAGGGATTTCGGGGTGGTCGGAACGGTTTAAAACCAGGCATGTTTCGGTCTCCGCTGAGGCCTAGAACGGGGTGGTTGCCCACCGAGTCGTCTAGGATAATGAACACCGACCACTCTTCTTAAGCGAATGATTTGATTTCCGATTTCTTAAAAATCTTGGTCTCGGATGGCAGTTGGACAAAGGGAAAGTGCTTTAAGGTTGCAACACCAGTATTTGCACGAAGAGGAGGTATTGTTTTCACTCTACGGCAGCATGCGTTGAGTGAAGGGATTCCGGGACACCTATATGTCCGACTTAGAAATTTAGAAAAAAAGTTATCTGATAACCAGTTAATCATAGCCCATCATCTTTTTGTCTAGTCTGTGGATATTAAATGCCAGCTGCCAGAGTCGGGCAAACTGCAGGTTGCACCCAATAGTGGGTCCTGGTTGGCATAATTTTTGGTACTTTTGTAGACTCTAAGGCATTGTTTCACACGTTAAATATTGTTTTGAAAACGCACTTAATTTTATGTGTTTTGGGTCTAGACAAAATGAATTTCTTATTCAGGAAAATGGATGTGGTGGAGAAGCATGAGCTCTGGAGTCAGAAATAAGTTATGTTACTGATTCTTCCGCCTTGTGACCCCACAAAGTGACTTAAAATCTGCAGAGCATCACTCCTTGTTAATTAAACAGAGACTTTGAGGTTTAGAAGAGGGCACCTGGCACTTACTAGTTGCCTTTTTTAAAAGTCAAAGATGTTATTCATTGTAACAGTGGTTTGGCTTTGATGGGTTATGTGAAACATTCTTGAGTTTCCTCGCCACGCAGTTTTCATGAAGAGGGTACTTTGGTAGAATCATTGTTTAAGATTAAGGAGTGTTAAACTAAGTCACCAGTTTATGTTAGGATACTGTCAACAAGTTAGTTAAGCCTGACTTGGTATTTTCCCTTGTGGTAGGAATAATTGAAGGAATGGCAATTATTCTGGGCTTGAATACCAGAGCTATCAAACTTGTGGCCTTTTGGGAAACACTAAGTCACCAGTTTATGTTAGGATACTGTCAACAAGTTAGTTAAGCCTGACTTGGTATTTTGCCTTGTGGTAGGAATAATTGAAGGAATGGCAATTATTCTGGGCTTGAATACCAGAGCTATCAAACTTGTGGCCTTTTGGGAAACTGAAGATTCAGGTCTGAGTTGCCTATGAGTGTATTTTTCCATAATGATAAATTAGTTATCAGTTACTCTAGAGCAGTTTACATGTTCCAAGAATTGCTGCATGTTTTGTAGACATAATCCTAGTTATCAAAGTGTTGACCCCATTTTACAGATGAAGATGAGAGCTTACATGTACCTCTCCCAGTAAGTAAGTGGCGCAGAGCCTATGTCAAATTTAGGTCACTGATTATAAAGCCTGGTTTCCACACACCATCACCACCCACCCTCTGTGTGATTCCTAGTAAATAATCAGAAATATGAAGTGAATTGAGAGATTTGGGGCAGTTAAATAGATGATGTATAAGACACTTTCACAGAAAATTAGGTTAATAACAAAATGGATTTAATCTGCAACATAAATTGCAAGTCTGAGTTTTATCGTGTTCTCCAAGAATACATTATCCGCTAGTGAGTGATTTCAGTGTTTTTGGCATTCTAGACTGGGTTCTGCAAATAGTGTGGAAAAGTCCTCTTGTGTTTTTATGTTATAATAGGGGAAGGATACTGGTTTAGTTTCTGGTAGCCGTTCTGCTACTTAGGAGTTTTAATGTTTTTGGCCAAGACCTTACTTATTAAAATAATGAGTTTATATCTTTTAGAAGAAATATTGATTGGTGCTCCAGCTTTTTAGATTGTTCCCTAATTCTCTCATTGCCACTGAAATGCAAACATTTGAAATTGTAGAATTTTTTTATTAAAGGGGCAAAACCGCCAGTTTTTAGTTGTATTTGACTTTTTATACTTTCTGGTTTCAGTAATTCGCCAAAATGACGAACACAAAGGGAAAGAGGAGAGGCACCCGATATATGTTTTCTAGGCCTTTTAGAAAACATGGTAAGTAGATTTCCTCTTTGAGAGCAACCATTTCATAAATTTGTATTTTATTAACATATGTGTTGTGTTTTATATAATGTTCATAAATGGCATTACATAGCTAACATCTACCTAACTTATTTTGTAACAAAAAGCATGAATTTTATTTAGTACTTCTGTAACTGGATATCAGTGTAAGATTAAACCTTGGAGACAGGGTGTGATTTAGTAAACTGATTTTGCTTTTAGGAGAAATTGTCTATTAGCAAGATTTTAAAATTTATGTAACTGTCAAAGTTGGGGGGCATGTGTGTTGAAAGCTATTAAAATTACATTTCTTTTTACTCTAGACTTTTTTGATCCTGATACTGACTACACCAAATTTTTAAAAATCATTATTTTGCAGGAGTTGTTCCTTTGGCCACATACATGCGAATCTACAAGAAAGGTGATATTGTAGACATCAAGGTAAATTACAAATTGGGAAAATAACATTACAGAAGTTAGGAAAGTTGGATTTAATCTAGTACAAGAATTAAAACACTAGTGTATATTGTATCTGTTGTATCCATTTATCTTTCTGAATTTTAGAGGGAAGTCTGCCTAAGTTTATGAGTATAGAATAAATGTTTATTGAGTCTAAATTTTTCTCATATTCTGCTTGAAGTTAATAGCTTAGTGGAAAATTAGAAGGAAAAAAATCAGGAGTTTGTCTTAGTGAAAAGGAATTCCCTTATGCAAAATTTAATTACTGATGAAGATGGAGATTACTATTTTTAAGAAAATACAAGTGATAGGCTATTTTGTGACTTAACATTTAAATATTCTGGCATTAGAGCTTAATGATGATTGTCTTTTTGATTGCTTGAAGCAAAGTGAAAAACACATTTCACCGGCTCTGAAAGCTCTTGAGTTGCCATTTAAAAGAAGTCTTCTATCATAGTGCTGTAAAAGTCAGTATTTAAAAAGAAAGGGAAATTGCTTGTGTAACATTTTTCTCATTTCTTAACAGGGAATGGGAACTGTTCAAAAAGGAATGCCCCACAAATGTTACCACGGTAAAACTGGAAGAGTCTACAATGTTACCCAGCATGCTGTTGGCATTGTTGTAAACAAACAGGTTAAGTAAGTAATATCATAGTTCCCTGCGGCTAGTCAGTGTTGTCATACCCCCTTTTCACTTTGCCAATTGGACTTATGTCTTTATTGGTCATTCAAGTGGGGCAAAGGAAATATCCTTTTAAAACTCAGGCAAACTGGATGTTTGTCTTGTATCCTGTCAGAGGAAACAAATTGTAATAGACTTACTAGAAAGTCTTAGGCAGTTTGGTATTAAGCAGTTCAGTTTTCGTAGTATAAAAAGAGAAGTTTGTAATTTTAAATTTTGTTAGTGATCTGGTTTTGGTTAAATTACTGTTCTTTCAGAGGCTGTCAATCAGAAGAAGAGCTTAAAAGTAGGGATGTTTGCCTCAAAGCCTCTTCCAATAAGATTGATAATTGATTGTAAATTAAATAATCAAGCCATCACCTTGATTTATTCTATCTGGGTAAAAGATTTATTTATTTAGTAAATGAAATTGCTGAAGCAGTTTTGTGCATTTCCATTATATTTTTGATGAAGCACTTATGGGAATTTCTACTCTCCAGGGGCAAGATTCTTGCCAAGAGAATTAATGTGCGTATTGAGCATATTAAGCACTCTAAAAGCCGAGACAGTTTCCTCAAACGCGTGAAGGAAAATGATCAGAAAAAGAAGGAAGCAAAAGAGAAAGGAACCTGGGTTCAACTGAAGCGCCAGGTGAGATCTTGACAGGATTTCGTGGTGTTTATCTAGGGAAACTTTTAAAATTGCTGCTCACTGATATTTTTCTTTATGGGAAATTTAAGAATTGAGTATATATTACTTCATTTGTTCTGAGAGCACTTTAAAATTGAGTTTTAGTACTTTATGTAATTATTTTATTCCCTTCCTTTTTTTTTCTTTAATGATATAGTTGATACGCAAAGAACTGCACATATTTAGTATGTTCAATTTGATGAGTTTGGACATAGCAAACATCTGTGATAACATCACGTATATGACCCTTTGTAATCTGATTCCTATTAAGTTGTTTGCCCTTTCACTTCCTGTTACTGTTTTCCTACTTTTTGCTTTAGCTATTAGGAAAAGTTTGTGTTTTTTTCAGTTTCTTTGCACAGACAGTTAGTTGCCTTTTCCTGAAACACCGACAATCTTCACCGATCTTCCTTCTCTGACAAGTCCGGTTTTCTGTTTAAATAGTGTTCTCCACTACTGGACTCGACTTGAAGATGTAAGAACCTACTTGTTTTTGTAGTCCTATTTAGTAAATACTGTGAATTGGGGGAAAAGCCTAATAGGTGGCCTTGAGTTTTCTCTAATGAAGGGGGATGGTACTGTTTGGAATCCAGCAAACCTGGATTTGAATCTCTGAGTGTTTTACATGATAAATGGTCATCATTAACTGCTAGTGGAGAGATGCATCTAAACATGATTATCATTAGTCAATGGGAAATTTGTCATCCTATTTCTTGCCACCACCACCAAAAGTGAAACTAACATTAGCTAGCATTCCTGTTAATGTATTTTCTGATAGTTTATGGCACTGCCATGCATTATCTATCATATTTTAAAATTGTTTTTCTTAATGTCCTTCACGTCCATTCCTTCTCTTCATCCCTGTCCCTCCCTCAGTCACACTTCCATTTCTCCCTTTATTATACCAGCTTCCAGGCTCCAATTCTCCACTATATTGCAAATTGCTTAAACAGTGTGACTTAGTTTTCTTGTCTGAAAAGGGGGTAATAAAAGTGCTCCCTTAAAAGATGGTTGTGAGGATTAAATGGAGTACTTGCAAAGCACTTAGCATGGTGTCATAGTGAGTATCCAATATCTGCCAGCTGTTAGTTCATAATCGGGCTCATTGAGAACTCTAGTTCTCCACAACTGCGAGAGGAGTATTTTGGAAGTCATTGCTTTTCAGCTAATCTAGAACTCCTAATTGCTTTTTAAGGGTATATATGACACCCCACCCCTCTTTTTCTTTCCCTAACTAGTATTTACAGGATTGAAAGTTTGTACTTTGTTGAGCTCTCCCTCTTACTGAATTGGTATTTATAGTACTAACGTTTGTTGGCCAGTTGATCTACTAAGGGCATGCTATTTCGCCCTCATGCCAGCTTTTGAGATGTGAGGACTACCAAGTTTTATGTGTAAGAAAAAAGACTCAAAAAGGGAAAATAAGTCACCAGTGGTCATGCTGCCAGAAAATGGTAGAGCTGGGACTTGAACCTGTGATACTTTCATGCCAAAGTTCCCATAGCACAGTGCTGTTTGACTATCAGTAAGTTAGGGTGGGTGAGGGAGCCAGGCAACATCTGGAAGACCACAGTATTTTTGTTTTTTAACAGCTTTGTTGAGATATAGTTGATACGCAAAGAACTGCACATATTTAGTATGTTCAATTTGATGAGTTTGGACATAGCAAACATCTGTGATAACATCACGTATATGACCCTTTGTAATCTGATTCCTATTAAGTTGTTTGCCCTTTCACTTCCTGTTACTGTTTTCCTACTTTTTGCTTTAGCTATTAGGAAAAGTTTGTGTTTTTTTCAGTTTCTTTGCACAGACAGTTAGTTGCCTTTTCCTGAAACACCGACACTTTGTTCAACTGATGAATTCCTGCTTCTTCGACATCCACCTTAAGTGTTAATCTCAGGTGTTAATATCCACAATGCAATTATTTTAAGGAGAGGAATGAAAAAAGTGCTTGGAATCAGAGAGAAGGGAGATTACTTCCAGTTTGGGTTGTTGGAATAAAATCCCCCACATCTTTGTTCCCATGACAGATATGTTTGCTTCTGTTACAGGGTTTATAATTTTTTTTAAACTGTCTTCCCCACTCTACCTGAGGTTAGGGATGTGTCTGATTAAACTTTGCACTCCTGGTGCCTGGCACATAGTAAGTATTCAGTAAATGCTCTTCGAATTAATGAGAAGATTAATGAGAAAAGCACTGCTCTTTTTAAAAAAGTGAATGGACATCTGCAGTCTAGTATTTGTAGGTTCAATCTTATTTTCCTATGGACTTTACAAGACCATTGTGTTTTTCTGAATTTTGAAGGCTAATAACATTTTGCTGATAAGTAATTGGGATTGTTAAATCTCCCATGTGAAGTTGTGGAAAGATCAGGAGACCTCAAACATTGATTCTCCAACAAGTTGTGCTACCCTCACCTTATGTTTCCTTGTCAGTAAGATGAGAATCCTAGAGGTCCTTTGCGCATTTAAGATCTACAATTCCGTGTTTTACCATGACCACGTGAAATGAGGTATCTTTGCAACTTGTGAAAAAGGAAATTGGGATATGAGATATCTCAATTCAGGAGGGCTGATAAAGCTGGTCATTGAGAAGAGGGGTGACAAACATCTGGCTTAGGGGAACTATTGTCACTAGCGCAGATATTCAGCAATGAGAGCTGTTTCCATTTGATGTGCAGCACAGCAGTTTTCTAAAAAGCTACCAGTGGCAACACTATGAATACGCTTTTTTTTTTTTTTTAGTATTTTGGATTAATCTTTAAAGGTAGGTTTTTCTCACAAGCACAATACTGGGTTGAAGAATATGTGTTTTCCAGATTTTTGACTCATTTTGATAAATTGATTTCCTAAAAGGTTCTACCATTTTGCAGTCCAACCTCCAATAAATAAAAATGCCTGTCTCATAACATGCTTATCAGAATTGATTATTATAATTTAGTCTTTGCTAATGTGGTGGGAGAAAATGTAACATTTTTTCATTATTGAGTTTGGCTTCAATTAGCTTTTCTGGAACACTTTTCTTGGTTTCCTTTTACCTCCTCTGCAGTCTTTGCTGGATCACACTGTCTGTCTGCCCTCCCAAATATTGAAGTGCCTTTATACTTGGGGTGCTATTTAGGTTCATGGCTTTGAATACCATTTATATCCTGACAGTTACCCTGGACTACAAAATCCTGTATCATCTGGCCTGTCGTTACTTTTCTCGCCACATCTTGTACCACTTTCAGCACCAAAGTCAGATTCAATTATACCAACCTTGCTGGGTGGGCCTTTAATGTGCCAAGTACATTCTTGCCTCAGAACTTTTGTGTTTGATGTTTCCTCTATTTGGAATGCTTTTCCCTCATAAATCCCCATGGTTGGTCCCATTTCTTTATTCAGCCTGTGCTTGAATTGAATCAAGACTGTCTCTTAACGTCCTATAAAAAAAATAGCCAACTCCATCATTTTTTATCTCTTTATCATTCTTTTTAGTACTTATCACTACCCAATATAAGTTTTGTTTTGTTGGGTGGTGTTTTAGTCCGTTTGTGTTGCTATAACAGAAATACCTGAGACTGGGTAATTTATAAGGAGAAGAGGTTTATTTGGCTTATGATTCTGGGACAGCTGCATCTGGCACGGGCCTCAGGCTGCTTCTACTCGTGGCGGAAAGTGGCAGGCAGCCAGCGGGTACAAGTAGGTCACATGGCAAGAGGAAGCAAGAGAGAGGAAGCAAGAGATGCCAGGGTCTTTTTAAGCAATGAGCTCTTGCAGGAACTAATAGAGCGAGATATCACTCATTACTCCCCCCACCCCCGGGGAGAGCATTAATCCATTCATGAGGGATCCACCCCCATGACTCAATCAGTTTCCAACACTGCCACATTGGAGATCAAATTTCCACACGAGTTTTGGAGGGGACAACACATCCAAACTCCATCAGGTGGTGTCTGAGTTTTTATCAACTTGTATCTATAGATCTTCTTTATTAAGTCAGGAAATATTTACTGTTACATACTCTACTGGGGGAAGTAATGGGAAGGAGACAAACACCATTAAAGCTGTATTCCTTAAGGAGGTGACAATCTAGGAGGAGCAGTAAATACCAAAATAAGGTATCAAGGAGTGCAGAAGGACAGAGGGGAGAGAGTTGGTGTTTACAGGGCTTTTGTTTCTGTTCTCTTTATGTTTCACAGATTATTCCTGGTCTCTCTTGTATCCTTAACCCTTTCCTCCTGCTGCTTCCTTGACTTCAGCCTGCAGACTTCTAAAAACTAGCAAATTAACCATGCAGCCTTGTCTGTGCCTTCCCGGTGCCTTTTGTAGCTAAATTTCCTGGTTGCCCAGTGCAGATCTGGTTTCCCACCTGTACCACTTTGATGAAACTGTACTCTCAAAGGTTACTAAAAACTTGCTAATTAACAAATGTAGAGACCTTTCTCCAATTTAATTTAAGCTTTCTAAATTTGACACAGCCAACAAATGTTTTCTGTTCCAGAGGCTTCTGCCATCATTCTTTACTCAGGTTCTTCTGCCTATCTGACCCCCCCCCCCCCCCCCCCCCACACACATTTTCTTCTGTGTGCTGCCACTTCAGATCAAGGCTAAAGCATCCATTCCTCAGGTGTGGCGGTGTGGACTCAGCTGGTAAGTGGGGGGAACTGCAGGTATTATACAGTCTGAATAGAGAACATGGGGAAGAGAGGGACAAGACAGGAGACTGGAGGGGGACTGGGGGACCTCCTCAGAGTGTGGCATGCTCTTGAATACCACACCAATGTGAATGTTCGCCATCACCTAACAGGAAAAAGGAGTCATTAAAGCCATTCAGGTGTCAGCCTGGACAGAGACGATCATGGAGCAGGAGTGAGGGGAACTAGAAGTAGAGATGGAGAAAACAAGTAGACCAGATTATATTTTATGACTGCCCGTTAGCTTTTCATACAATTAGTCACTACTACAGGCCCCTTTATCATAAATAAAAAGGATAAAATA